ACACACACACACACACACACACACACACACACACACACACACACACACACACACACATATATATAGTGTGTGTGTGTGTGTGTGTGTGTGTATAGATAGATAGATACATACTTACACACACACACGGATAATAACCACAATTACCATAATAGTTTCAACATAATCACGAGCATCAACAGTAATTATATAATAAGGAAAAGAAAGAAGAACAAGACGAAGGAGGAAGAGAGAGAAAATACTTTAGCAAATATGAACTTCCCGTAACCTTGTTAACATTTACACACTAGAAAGGAAAAAAAAGAGAAAAAAGAAAAATGAAGTGAGAGGCAAGAAACCGCTAAGAGGCAATCGAAGACCAAGCTGTGGAATTGCAAACTAGGCAATTTCCGTTAAGTGCAGAGAGACAGAGAGAGACAGAGAGAGAGAGAGAGAGAGAGAGAGAGAGAGAGAGAGAGAGAGAGAGAGGGAGAGAGAGAGAGAGAGAGAGAGAGAGAGAGAGAGAGAGAGAGAGAGAGAGAGAGAGAGAGAGAGAGAGAGAGAGAAGGAAAGAAAGAAAGAGAAAGAAAGAGAGTGAGAATAAGTGAGAGAGAGAGAGGAAAAAAAAAAAGTTCCTCGCAACTACATCTTAGTTGCGGCTAAGAAGAAGGAACGAAGTTGTCTACGGCTTGCCCTCGAAATGGTAGTGTTTTCCGTTGAACTCGGCGAGAGTAAAATGATTAAGGTGAGAGCAACGTGCCCACGCTTGACACGGACACCTTTGTTCGTACACTGTGTAATCTATAATACCTGGATATGTGTTTAGGTTTGCACACCACACACACACACACACACATACAAACACACTCACTCACTCACTCTCTCTCTCTCTCTCTCTCTCTCTCTCTCTCTCTCTCTACACACACACACACACACACACACACACACACACACACACACACACACACACACACACACACACTCACACAAGATGTGAAAATATTCTTACACGCACACAGGTTATTCATATTGTCATTTTCATCTGTTCTTTCATATGTTGCTGAGGGTAATGTAAATAATAATCGTAATGTTTCATGCGTTTTCTATGAAAGCGAGTATTTGTGTGTGCACACACATACACTCATATTTCGCGTAAATGAATATTTTATTTGGCACAAACCAACAAACACAAAAACTGGCGAAACTATTAGGTTTTACGTAACTGACAGTTTTACCGTGTAGCGCTGAAGGGTGGTAATCCACCAATAGAAATTTATGGTCAGGAGACTCCGGGTGATTGGTAGTGAAACCGGGCAAATATCCCCGTAGAGTTATGGCAAAGTGACCTATTATAGAGCAGGGAAAATTCGGGAGATATTCAAAGATCTTTGTAGAGAAGCTGCAGGTGCACACAGTCGATTTTATTATATTTCAAGAAAGTATATGTAATAAGCCACATGCTCTTAATGTTTGATCTCGTATAGTAGATGCTCATTCGTATTTCTAGCCTTGAATACTGTCCCTTTTCACGCTTAAAAATATTTGACATTTGTTTACCTGCAAAACTCAATTCACGTGTACGTGTCCTCTCATTCATTCAGAAACAAGCAAAGAGAGCTTACCTCAATCAGAAAAAACTCCCTTCCCTCTCTCTCTCCATTAAAAAAAGAGAGAAAAAAAAGGAAAAAGAAAAAGAAAAAGGACAAAGCTCTCTCGTTCTCATAAAAAAGGAAAAAAAGGGGGAGGTTTTAAACTGTATTTGAAGAGCCTAAAGATGAGGACGTCATTTCAAGGCCAAATGCAACCTGCAGACTTGTAGTAAAGACCTTGCAATGGAATACCGAATTCCTGGCTCGTGCAACCGTTTGTGTGTATGTGCCGCACCGACACAACGCTGGAGAATGACTTTTAATTCCTGTTATGTAAAAAGAAAGGTTGAAATAATTTCCTACCACTTTAACACATTTTCACAACTGCATGATTGTTAATTTTTAGTGTTTTGGATGTTTTTGAAAACAAAAGAATATCACATTAATTCCCCTTTCACACATTAATTTGATTGTTCATGTATGAATTCATATGAAATAGAAAAAAGAAAATAAAGGAAAGCAATTACAAAGAATTAAATATATCACACTCTCTATTTTGTTTAGAATATAACACATATTACCCTCCGCAAAAAAACGCCAATAACAGTAATGGCAAAATAGATGAAAAATGAATATATATCTTTAAAAAGTCGCTTATTCCCTCCTCTTTCCTCTCCCTGTTCCATTCACCTTTTTCACATCCAACTAATACACACCTCCTACAGTATCAGTTTAATATATACATGTATATTTTCCACTTCGTATAATTTTCACCCCAACACTAACTTTCTGTTTGGTGGGTCATAAAACAACCGAGAAAGTAGCCTTGAATATTTCCAGGTTTGGGAGGCAGAGCATCACCAAATGTAGTTACAGCACTTGCAGACAAATACAGCTGAGGTTGTTTGCATCATAAAATCAGAGCCTGGACTGATTTCCTGTATCGCTCTCTGGTTCTGCTGTGATTCGCCGTCTTCGTTTTTTAATGTTGTGTGTGTTTTTTTTTTTTAGAATTTTCTCTCTTGTTAGATTTTCATTTGTCTGCTTTGTCTTATTTTCTCTCTCTCTCTCTCTCTCTCTCTCTCTCTCTCTCTCTTTCTCGCTCTCGCTCTCTCTCGCTCTTTCCCCTTCCGTCTCCCCGCCCCCCCCTCTCTCTCTTTCTCGCTCTATCCCCTTCCGTCTCCCCACCCCCCTCTCTCTTTTTCTCGCTCTCTCTCCACCCCCCCCCTCTCTCTTTTTCTTCTCTCCCTCTTCCCCTCTCTATCTTTCCCTTTCCCCTTCTCTCTCTCTCTCTCTCTCTCTCTCTCTCTCTCTCTCTCTCTCTCTCTCTATCTCTCTTCCTCCCCTCTCTCTCTATTTCTCTCTCTCTCTCTCTCTCTCTCTCTCTCTCTCTCTCTCTCTCTCTCTCTCTTTCTCGCTCTCGCTCTCTCTCGCTCTTTCCCCTTCCGTCTCCCCGCCCCCCCCCTCTCTCTTTCTCGCTCTATCCCCTTCTGTCTTCCCACCCCCCTCTCTCTTTTTCTCGCTTTCTCTCCACCCCCCCCTCTCTCTCTTTCTTCTCTCCCTCTTCCCCTCTCTCTCTTTCCCTTTCCCCTTCTCTTTCTCTTTCTCTCTCTCTCTCTCTCTCTCTCTCTCTCTCTCTCTCTCTCTCTCTCTCTCTCTCTCTCTCTATCTCTATCTCTCTTCCTCCCCCCTCTCTCTATTTCTCTCTCTCTCTCTCTCTCTCTCTTTCTTTCTTTCTCTTTTCTTTCTTTTTCTCCTTCTCTCTTTTCTCTCTCTCTCTCTCTCTCTCTCCCTCTCTCTCTCTCTCTCTCTCTCTCTCTCTCTCCCTCCCCCCCTCTCTCTAAGCTACACTCTTTATCCCGAATGCCAAATTAGACGTTAGCTAATCCAATGGCGGATGTCCCGTTCATACCCAGATTACATTGAATTCAAAATGGAACTACAATCACATTACAATCCCCTAAAAGCAGACTACATGTGCATTACATTTCTACGCATTCAAAGTGCATTAAAACTACATTATATCACTTGCAACTTGATATAGTCAAAGGATAATTCCACGCTATTATATATGTATATGTATATATAGAGTCTGCTTGTATTATTGCTGTTGCAATTATCATGGTTATTATTATTATTATATGAACAACATTATGATGAAAATAATAAAATAAACAAACATAACAACAATAGTGATAATGAGATTGATTGTTGTTGTCAATAATATTGTCGCAGTTATTATTATTATTATTCATTATTGTAATTGTTATTATCACTATTATTTCTTTATTATTATTATTATCATTATCATTATTATTATCATCATTATTATTATTATCATTATAATCATTATTATCATTATTATTATCATTATCATTATTATTATTATCATTATTATTATTATCATTATTATCATTATTATCATTATTATTATTATTATCATTATTATTATTATTATCATTATTATCATTATTATCATTATTATCATTATTATCATTATTATCACCTTTATGACCACTGTTATTGTTATCATCATCATTATTATCATTATCGCTATCATCTGCATAATCATTCCCTGCCATTACCACTATCACTTACCATTACTATCTGTAGTAGTATTAATTACGTACAGTTTTCCCCATCCATTGCCACATCATCTCCATCACTGTCACCAGTATCACCATTATCTGATTTCAGTCCACTAAATTCGGTTTTCTAACCCTTATCTCTCCCAGTTCGAAACTCCAATTGAAAGTCAAAGTCGAGACGAATCTGAACAATTAATTTTGGAAAACGAGATGAATTGCCAACTCCCTTGGGCGTTTCGTGTTTTTTTTTTTATCGTCTGAAGAATAGTCTGGTCTCATTCGAAGCGGTTTAGTTTTTTTCCTTGCAATTGTTGTTGTGATTATTATATTCTTTGTAAGCGTTATAGTGCTTATGTTTGCAATCACATTGATACTTATATACTTACATATTATCACATACTCGCATACTTATGACAAGTTTTCGTAACGTATGATATCAATTGCATTTTAGCACTCAGATTGCTCATAAAAACAGCGTTCATCATATATACTCTTAATTTCATATTCACGTTATTTATCGCACACTCATATTGTCCATACTATACAATGTTCGATACACATATCTTTTATTACATATTCCCACTGTGCATTACAAACTCAAGTTGCTCATAACATAAAGCGTTCTTCACATATAGTCTTCATTACATACTCACACTCTCATATGATTCATAAAAAACAAACATATACTTTTCATAACATACTTTATTCATGACACACTCACATTCCTCATACCATAAAGCATTGGTCGCATATACCCTTCCTTTGATACATTATTCATTACAAACTCACACTGCTCACAACATGAAGCATCCATCACATAAACTCTTCCCTCTCCCTGCATACTCAC